CACGCGTGCACGTGTATGTGTGTGTATGTAGGAATAATGAGACATACAGTTTACTTTGAAGTTCGGAAACTTTCTGCTTTAATCTGGAGACTTCATTTTGCAGCTCTTGATTGGTAGTCTGCGCATTAATGGACTCCTGTCTAGCTTGGTTCAGAAGAGTTTCCAGCCGTTCCACAGTCACGCGATCTCTAGTAATTTGATCTTGAACAATACTCTGCTCGGCTTGCAGTCTTGACAATTGCGCTTCGTACTGTATGAGAAAGAACAAGGCGATATAGACAAACTGAAGCGATGTGTAAAAAGTAGAAATGTATGGAATAGAAAGTAAGTAAATTTACATGCGTTTTCATGATGTCCTTATCACCAAGCTGCTCCGTAAGCGTATCCTTTTGTTGGTCCAACTTAACACATAGGTCCCTGACTGCCATTAGATCGGCTTCGACTCGATGTTTCTGTTCGATTTGTTGCTGCAGCTGCATCTCCATACTGGCGACGCTTTGCGTCAAATTGCTTATCTAAAGAAATCATTATATGCGTGAGAATGTTGAGATATTTACATCTCAAAAATTTATCGTATTGTTGATCCTGATTTAAATTAAATTATTTTCAGCTGAATATATCGCAATGTAAGATGTTGTAATGAGTGAAAATACCAATACAATTTTTCGTGTTTTCCTTGCATCAACTATAAAGAGAGCATAATACCTGAGTCTCATAACCCTTTATTAAACAGTCCCTGTCCGCTAATTGACGCTCAAGATCAAGTATCTGATGCCTCGCAGTTTGAAGAGCACCTCTAGCCTCCGCCGCCTCAGACTCTAAACTGTGATTGTTATTCTCCAGAACCGTCGCTTCTAAGCTGAGGCTTCGAAAATGGTTTAACATTTCCGTTCTCTCATTGTCCTAAAAAGATTGAGGTAAATAAGCAAATGTTGTTAATAAGATTCTGTCTGGATATACCTTCCGATTTAAGAGCTCCTCAGCACGACGGACCTCGCTGACATAAGTCTGCAGTTGTCTCTTCAAGTCATAACACTCAGCGCGCGAGGTTTCCAGTTCGCGTTGCATGTTTCGCATCTCGCAAGTCAACGCCGCCAAATCGTCCTGCAGTTTCCGATTCTCGTGAATTGCGTTCTCGCGATCTACCGACGCGGCCTCGAACTGCCGCTGTACCGACTCCATCTCCACCTGCAACGACCTGAGCTGACGTTCCTGCTCCGCGCTTTGATCGATGCATATTCTACAATAATATCATTATTGCATGTTCAAGAGCACAGAAAAATTAAATATTAAATTTAGAAAATAATTTAGGTTCTAATGAATTAAATCAAATAGAAACAGAAATAGTTTATAAGAGCCATTTATAAGAGCCATCATAAGGTTAACATGTGATCAAATCTTTTATTACGAAGGAATATAGTAACGACAAATGGTTAAACTCTCGATTAGAGTTCTCGATTAGACTTCTCGATTAGAGAGTCCTTATCAATGTACAATATTTATCTATATCTAATTAATGATTGAATTATTTTAAAATTTGTTGATTGCGATCCAATCATTAATTATATATAGACAATTATTGTATATTGATGGGGATTTTAATCGAGAGTGAAACGTTTACTGTATTCCTTCTGTAATAAAAGATTTAATCGTCAACCTTGTAGTGGCTCTTATAGGCTATTTTTCTTTCTATTTGAAAAATTAAATATCTAGTAGATTTAGAAAAATAATAAATTATTGTTTAATCGTATTATAATTATTGTAAAATGAGTCCTATACACAAAAAGAACGGTTTTGCAGAAGTATCAAAAAATTTCGCTCAACACAGATTTGAAAATTTTTTGTAGCATTGCTCATATTTGAATTTCCTATACAATTATTTTGAGAGTTCAGTAGATATATAGTTTAGATTACAGATTTACTGATTTGAGTGTCCTTTAGATTTGTGTGTGTGTGTGTGTGTGTGTGTGTGTGTGTGTGTCATAGAGGAGAATATCCTGAATGATTTCCAACAAGAGTTAAGTAGGGAATTGATTTAGAAGATATAATAAATTAAAATTTCATAATATGTAAGAAATGATTAAATTAATATAAGAGGTACTCGTATATTACATGCGAAATGGGATTATTCCCTCCCCCTCCCCCTCTCCACCCTTCTGCCTAAGGTCGTACGACTTTTCACGCGAAACGAGGTCCACTCCTCTGCTTACGGGGTGAAATAGGTCTGTTTCCTCGCTTCGCATGAAAAGTCGTACATCCTTATGACTGTTTCACATGGGTCTTCAAATAGACAAACTTTACTGTTCGTAGTATATCTCGTTCGTAGTATACCAACATCATCCTCTACATTATGTAACTTTAATTTACTATTATGTATCTCCAAAACCAATGCCATTCTCCATTTATGAGTAATTCTTGTGGAGAATCACTCAGTACACTTTTTCCTACAATGTATCTAAAGGGCTCAATCGGTGAAGTGTAATCAAATGCATATCGATAGTTGAACAGAATTATTTTCAGATCTGTATTTAACTCAATTTTTAGTTATTTTAGCAAAATCATTCTTTCCGTGTACTTAATATAATCTAGATTGTATAATTTTTCATTGTGATTTCATACAACAATGTTTGATCTGAGATCGTTTACGGATCAGGTATTCATTCATGGCGCAAGATACGTTTTCGAAAGGGGACAAGGGCAGCACAAACGAATTAGGTGTTCGTTATTTTCCAACTTGCATAACTCTTTCGAAATGAGGTATTTACGTGATTGGATTTTCGTATTATTATTTGTACAGATCTGATTTCTCAATGCCCGTAATTTCTTAATAAATCGAAAGCAAAACTGCAGACGAAATATCGATCTATTCATGTATACGTCACGTTTATGAATTAACCGATGTATACAAATGATATTGAACTGAATAACAACATTAAATATTGTAGATAAAATTTTCTCGGAAGAACTAGATAAGAGACCTGTAGCTTTCATCACGGAAAACGTTGATGCATGTCAATCAAAAGTCAATCATTCCCGACTTTCGACGAGCTAACGAGCGGAAACAAATCACGAATCGATGAAACTTGAGCTTCAAATCAAAGTCTCGCGGAGGAAGACAAACGTGTGGATCATCGATCATCTACCATCCGCATCGATTACGCACGGTGTGGTTTGCGTAATCGCGAGACCTGCAACGTGGCGCGTGCGAAAAATATCCGGATACCGCACGACTTTCTCTCGCCTTTCTTATCGTTCTTCTCAGCAGCAGCAGCAGCAGCAGCAGCAGCAACAGCAATCGTCTTCCGCGGAAGACGAACTGAGCATGAAAGTGAAAATCAATTCCGTCATGCGAATCGAGGAAAGCATTTTTCATGGGGCAGTGACAACCTTCTAATCGACGGTTCGGTTAGAAAGAAAAACTATTTTTTTATATTACTGAATATTAACTTGTAAATGACATCTGGAATCCGCATAAAAAAAATTTCCAACTTTTAGGTATTTGACAAAATCAATTTTACTTAACACACAGTTTTGAATGACATTTTGTTTTTCGAAAATTCAATATTACCAATCGATTGATTAGAAAATTTTATATTGACAAACATAGGTTTTATTTTAACTTTGTTTTTATCTTTCAGAAGATTAGAAGTGCATTCGGAGCTATTAACGCTATTCGTGTCATTCTGTTTTTGTTTTACATCTAAACAATGAAGATAGAATGACAGAAAGAGCGCTAATAGCGTTTCCTCGAACGTGTCATAGATAAAATGTTAAAAACGCCTGGTGCGGATTTGCATCCAAGTTCTTTATGCATACTTAATAGAGACATGTCCTTTATAGGTTAATAAATTAAAAATTTTCTAATGAACGCATTTCACATTAGAACAGAATGCCAATTTTAATAATCGATGATAATAAAATGTTAATATTATTAGGCATCAAAATCCATTTTAAGCAAATAAGATTTTCACTTCTTCGCTTATTTATGTTATTAACATCAGTCGATTTTCCATTTATTATTATTTAAATCTGAGTATAGGATTTAATAGAATTTTTAGAGCTAAATATCAGGAAAGGTGAGAAAAAATGGAAGCCGTTATTACGCTAACGTCTTCAACTAACGCCGAGAAATTTCTCATTACTTCGATAATACTGAGAGAAATGCTGTGGACTCCATAATCAAGTTTCTCATGGTTTGATCACGTGCGTATCTTTAGCAATTCGTCCGTTACGCTTCAGGACGGATTATCATGAAGCGATAATGGAAATTATATCACGGATGTTACAGAAGAATGCATTTTGCGATGCTCAAGGAAATGTGATTTTTATTTTCAGGCTTACGATAAGAGATATAAATTTCTCTTCTACAGACGGCGGAAGTTTTGTCGTAAGCAATACACCAATGATGTTTGCGAATAAATGTCGATTCCGGTAGTAAGTTACTAGTTTTTCCACATTTATTCTTCCCGACATGGAAGAGTTCCGTTTGCGAGGCATTCCGAAACTATAAATAGAAATTAAAATGTAAATCAAACATTTATGAGATAGAATCGAATCGAATAAAATCTTTGATAATATGTTGAAAATGAATTAACTCGGAATTTGAAATTTTTACGTCAAATCATCAAATCAAGTCGAATCTTTCTTATTCGAAAACAAATCAAATTCAAATTAAATCTTTCCAGATTTATATTAAAAGCTAATTTAAAAGTAATAAAGTATATTCAATAATCTTCTAGATTTTTTAAATAAACGAAAAAATAAATTATTTTCAATTTACAAGAATTGTGTATACATGGAACAAACAAAATAGATGATCGATTTAAAATCGAACTACCGATGATTCGAAGTTTCGAACTTATACAATTTCGAGTCTCAAATTTGAAAACAAATCAAATCCATTATGATTCGACTCAATTCCATTCAAATTTGAACTATTTGCATACCTCTGTAATGAGAATTAGTCTTGATAATTTTAAAAAATGGAAGACTGCACAATTGGATTGGCTCCAAATTCTATTCGTCATTTAATTATCGCGCTTTGCTTATATTCTTAACTTCTTAGATATTTATGCGTTTTATTCTCTCCTTCTTCAATAGTAGCTTAAAAGGAAAGTTCATGACGATATAGTGCAAAAGAAAAAGTGCCATAGAAAGTATTGCAAGTGCTCTACAAATATTCTGTTAATGCATGCAAGGATGCTCCTCACATCAGAATGCTTGACTTGGCAGATTCGTATTGGCTTAATTACGAAGTAAATCTAATTTTATACGTTTTATGAAATGCACAATTCATTCATGTCTATTTGTGACAATGTAGCCATTACCGAAATTTGTGTGATTGAATGGTAATGATCGGTACATGATGCACTTTTTATCGCAACGCATTAAATGTGAAAGTTATGCACAACATCAATAGTTCGATCAATAGCAACTCGCATTTTCTATTCTGTAATCCAGTTTTCTATTCTATAATCGCACACATAATAATAGCGCAAACTGTTCGAAAATCGTTTAATCTGCAATAAAATCTGCATTCATATAAAAAATGAGCTCCAAAAGCGACGAAACCTATTAAAATGATGAGTCAGAAAATGCATCATTAAAGAGGATTTACTGGACCTCCCCTCCCCCCTCTCTTTCTCACACACGCACGCACGCACGCACGCACGCACGCACGCACGCACGCACGCACGCACGCACGCACGCACGCACGCACGCACGCACGCACGCACGCACGCACGCACGCACGCACGCACGCACGCACGCACGCACGCACGCACGCGATCGCTCCCTCCCTCTCATTCCCTCACTCGCTCATTAACTTACTTAGCTTATTAACTCACTCTTTCACTCACTATTCTCTTTCATGATTGCCTAACAAAGTCAAAATTGATGGCAAGCGATATAAGTTCAATTTACAGAACCGTTCTAAAGAAGATACAGCCATGCATTGTGAACACTGTATTGATTCGTGAACATCTATAATTTTAATCTTCTGAACACTGAAGTTTTTCTCGCTGAGAATCTTTGATCTTTAATGATCTGAAGACAAATAAATTATTTATGAAATTAGCTTTAACAATTATTTATGAATTTAGCTTAGTATAGTAACAATACTATGCTGAGAAAAATATATATACATATATCCAAATTAAAAAAAAAATCCTTTCAAAAAGTAACAAACGGATACTTCCAATCATTTTGATCCGATAAAAAATTCGATCACATTTAATCGGAAATAAGTTCAGCGAAATTTTCGATAAAATACTTGTTTGTTACTTTTTGAACGGATAATTCGATTACATCATTTCCAAGGAATAGCAAATCCTTGAATTAATTTTTACATAAATTTAAAAACTCAATTGTACTGTCAAAAAGATACATCTTATTTACTTCCATCGTGAAATTCTATTTTGGGAACTTGTTTTTAAAGAATCATTTTAAAAATTAATTAGAACGTGAGTGAAAGATTTCATAATGCACTTTATTCTATTTAAAAATATGAGTATACTCATATTTAACAAATCAGAATAGAATAAAGTGCATAGCATTATGAAATCTTTCATATACAGGGTGTCCCGTAATTCATCCGACAACGCTCGTGAGCAGAAAAAACGAGAAGTCCTGTATCATTTTGCAATTTTCGCAATAGTTTTATTCTAGTATGGTATTGTTATTTTTGGTTATCTTCTCGCTAGGGTTTGTGAAACCCTGCAACTTTGTCATGTTATATCTCTGGACTGAATACGTATTTTTTAGCTTACAACGTGTGAAATTTATACCTCAAAGTCAGACAAAGACAGATAAATACGAATCAAATAAGTAATATTTTATTTTCAATTAATTACAATGCTTCAAAGAAATTTGGAAAAATTCGCAAAAATGATTACTTTGGATAAAAAATTCTCAAATTTTTAAATTTAATGTTTAAGCAAAAACCCGTACGATTTTTTTAGTTGATCCTTTGGACTAACAAAAAAAAAATAGTACGATATGAATCGCTCAAAAAAGTATAATTATTTGAACTATCGAAAATCGACATTTTTGAAGAATCTACATATTTTAAGTTATAATTAATAAATAAAATTATATTACTTGAACAATATAAAAGAGTAATAATATAAGTAGATAAAGGATTGTATATGTGTATAAATATTATTATAGTATATATAATTAAGTTCATTAAAATTTAGTTTAGAGGATGATGCAACACTCGCTCTAAAGCAATAAATCCGCCTCGGCCGAGCGATTTCCGAAGACTGACAGAAATGATAAAATTTCTACTATTTATTATATTGAAATATAATTCTTTTTAGTTCTACATTTTCATGTACTTACTTTTATACTATCCGAAACTACCAAGGTATCCAAAACTTACAAACTAATCACATGTGGATCCCAAGTACTCTCTTTGAACTTTTGTGCACTCTCACATCATCACAGAGAATAATATAAAAAAAAATCCTTGCAGGCTTATCATATCTATGGACAGTTAAAGTTTTTTTTCAGCCTTAATCCGGGCCTTCAAATTACAAAAGTTATAGCAATGTAAAAAATCGGGTGTTGAACCCATGAATATTAGGATTAACAAAAAATTAATTACTAAAAATTGCCGAATATTGGTCTTCAATAATTTTTTTTTCAAATAAATACTATCAACTTAACATTTTCTAAAATTTACTTTTCTCGTAAAGTTCATGTTAATAAAAATCAGAAAATGCAGTACTAAAAATTCTGAAAAAATTCATAGAGTTCTGTGAGAAGAAAATGAACTATTTTTGCCTCTTGCTGTTTTTCTGTGAAGTTTATAGCATTTGAGTAAAAAATTATTGAAAACCAATATTCAGCAATTTTTAGTAAAAAATATCTTGTTAACTACTGCGAAAATTGCAAAATAGTATAGGACTTTTCGACTTAGTTTAGTCCGCTTTATCTGCCCATGAACGTTTTTGGATGAATTTGGAACACCCTGTATATACAAAGAAAAAAAAATTGACAAAGAAAAAATTTTTTTTAATCGGCTTCTCAACTAAAAAAACTTCCATTTTATACCAAAAAAACACCCCTAAATTTTTATTTAAAAATATTAAGAGTTAGAGGTTGTTAGTGAACAATTTTTTAATCAAAGTTTCGATTTTCCTTAATACACGTTTGATTTAAAGCAAAAATGGCTTAATCCGGATTTTAAATATCGTACTATATGTTTTTTGGTCGCTAATCACAATGCATTAATTCATTTAGCTCTATGATATACACCTTAAGAAATACAACTCGATTAATGTAAAAAAAAAAAAACTAAATTTCGAGTTCAAGATCGATTTTAGCAAGGATCTAAGTGAGATCGTGTTTACTCCCCTTAAATTGTAGGTCTGTTCTCAGAACAAGATTCAGTTAAACTTTCCCGGGACCTCCTACAGTTTTATAATTTACTTTAAAAGTTGCATTTAACTGGATTATAAAACGTTTTTAAGGATAAAAACATTTTATTAACAAATTTTTAAATAAGTTTTAAAAAATTTTGTTTATAAGTTTCAAAATATATCACTTTGTGGTTTGGACATCCTCAAATCAAATGCCTCAATTTTACAATAAAAAACTTTTTATTAGAAAATGAAATGAATACATAATTTAAAAAATATACTCCATAATATGTAATTTATTTCAATTAATTAAATCATTTTTTTTAATTCATTTTATTTTCTAATAAAAAGTTTTTATCGTCAAATTGGCATTTGATTTGAGAATGTTAAAACTATAAAGCGATAATATACTTTAGAACTTGTAAAAAAATTTTTACAAGTTCTAGGCCCTGTAGGAGGTCCTGGAAAAATTCCAACTGATCTTGTTCTGGGTGAACAGATATACAATTTGAGAGAAGATCCATTTGAATGCTTGGAACTTTGCTAGAATCGACCTTGAACTCTTAAAAATTGTCATTTTTTTCATATTAATCGGGCTGTATTTCTTAAGGCGTATATTGTAGGGCTAAATGAATTATTACATTGTGTTTAGCGACCAAAAAAACATATAGTACCACATTTAAAATCCGGATTTAGTTAGTTAATTGTGCATCAAATATATTAAGAAAAATCGAAACTTAGATTTAAAAATCGTTCACACTAAATCTGAATATTTTTTTAATATAAATTTAAGGATGTTTTTTAGCATGAAATGAAAGCTTTTTAGCTAAGAGATCGATTAAAAAAATTTTTTTTTCTCGTCAATCTAATATACATATATATAAATTCACTATCTCGCGGCGATGCGGTGTCGCGTACTGTTTGAACGATTTTAACGAATCGGATATTTTCGGATCAAATGTAGCATATTTGATCGAATATCAAACTTGAGTGGATAAAATACCCTTTTTTTATCCATTCAAATAATGTTTAATCAAGTTATAAGTTTACCCGATAAAATTTTAACGATAGACAAATGTCTTAATTTTCATATTTTATCGGAAATTGCATTTTATCGGAAAAAGTATGGTTATTTCCGATGAAAATCACTTTTCTCAGTGAATCTTCAACTTGTTATTGCTCTCATTGAACAATGCTTGTCACTTAAAAATTACGCAGAAACGAAATTAAAATTATTTGATTCTTTAGAAGCAGTTCACAACAGCTCGAAAATATGTATGCACCGCTTTTGTTACATATAGTTAGCTCACGAGACCACGTAAAGGGGCATAGGTGCGTCCTTTGGAAGATTCTCTAGTTTGTACAGCATTACCGTTACAGGCAAAGGGCAATGCACGTTTCCTCGAAACCAAACTTATGTAAGAAGAGCTAAAGAGTCGAAGAGACGGTGAAAGAAGGAACCATTGTAATCCTATAAGGTACTTGAAATTATTCGAATAAACACAATCATTTAGCATAGATTTTAATAAAATTATTCTTCATTTCTCTCTCTGTACACCCTTATTTAACAAATTGAAGTGTTATACGAAGAAAAAAAAACAAGAAAAGCATTTTTTAAGAAAAAAATCTGTAAAAAATTTTTCTTTTGATGAATTTATTAAATAAATAAAGTCGATTTTTCATAATCAAAATTGTATACTATAGTTAATATTATTTATAATTATATCATTAGTAGAAGTTCTTTTTAAATTACATTTAAGTTAAATTAAAGTTAATAGCCTTAAAAATTTAATTTTAGTTAAGATAAAAGTTAATCCATAGTGACATTAATTAAATTAAAAGTTAATAAAAAAAAAGTAATTAAAGAGTTAAAAGTTAAATTTGTTTCATTTCATGATTTCAAGTTAACTTTTTTTTAACTAAATTGAAAAATTAAATAAACTTTTTTAACTAATAAGGACTTACATACAATATATTTTACGGATTTTGATCAGCTTTACGATTATTCTGGGGTATCAAAAAGTAATCCCTGTAAAGCAGTAAATTGCACTTCTGTATTCTTCGAGGAAATGATTTTAAGTCACAATGACGGATTGCTTTCAAATCTCTTTATTCTTTGTTTAAACATAAATAACATATTTGAAATTATTTAAAATTAGAAAATACATTCCGACGGACGCGAATGTGTATAAATATAGAGTATAGGATCCATATAATGCCAACCAATCCTGACGTTAACTTTTAAAAAATTAAATTACAAATTAATAGTTACCGATAAAATATAAGTATATAAAGTTAAAAAGTTAAGAGTTTAAAATGTAACTAAATGAAGTTAAAATTAATTAACTTTTTAACTTAATTTTTAACCTTTTAATTTAGCATTACCCAACCTTGGTTATTAGATATTCCTCTCTTGCTCTTTATACGTCTCTTTTTTTCTCTATCTTTCCTATCGGATATTATTGTACTTGTATAGCTGGGTTGTTCCACTTTTCGGTAAACTTCAGTTCACTGTCTTACTTTCTTACTCTCTTACTTTTTTGTTTCCAAAAGATAAATTACCAGTTTATCTGAAGATAGAACAACAGGCTCTATTCATAGTAAACCATTGCATGCATATAACACCATTTTCTGTAATGTTTGTGAACCTTTGCATTATATGATTAATCATGCGCTTTTTTAAACTGCACTAGAAATTTTGTGCAATTGTTAAATATCATTGTAACAACGATAGTCATTTTTAGTTTTAATGAAAAGATTAATTGTCTCTAGATTTATTTAATAATTCTATTAAATTTAAAATTTTATGAAATCGTATAATTCCATGTTAAAAAATAGATTTCGTTTATTAAATTAAGTAAAATTTTTAAGCTTTTTCCATTTTAAGAAAGACGAGATAAAAATAATTTTTATATATGTTATAATATTAAATTATTTTATATATAATATTTCTATAATGAATGTCTTCGTATTTTGAATTCCGAATGAGTTTCTCGATGTAGAATGCACGTTGCATTCATTGTTACTGAATGTATATGGAATATATACGGAAAGTCCTTATATTTCCTCGACAAAATCATTGAACTCAATTTGGAATGATCTCGTAATTTCTCAAGGCCATGGTAATTTAAGACGCTGATGTAACAGCAATTATTTCGAAAAACATGGCAATGATCCGCTCACGCTTGCCTCTTCATATTGAGATTGGATGAATGTCAAAGATAGTTATGCGTTTCTCGTTACTGGTTTCGGCTTTAGATTTCAGGTCCAGTATCGAATTATGCAACAGTTTATAAAAAAATCTACGCACTGCTCGCAAGCCGTAATGATCACTAATCGACAATGTTATTTCAGGAAAAGTCCAATGACGATGAAAGTTCTCTTCCTCATGTAACAGTTGTTGCGTAGAAGTGTCGCAATGATGATTCTTGAGAAAACTTTGAAGAGGCAAGCGGATAATCATGACATTACGCAAACAAAAAAGACATAAATTTGACGAAACCGGTTTTCTTATTATAGAATTCATTTTTTTACGGTTGCCCTAAAATGTTCATCAGATTTAAAGTTATTGCAATTTGAACGATATGAGAGCAAATACTCTTTATGTAAATGCATCAATGATGTTTATCCGTTCAACAAATTCTTTCTATCAAAATTCCATTCGATAAGTGGAATCAAATCGTAAATGATTTCATTGGATCAACGTTTCAGACATCTCGAAATCCTACGCGCGATATATTGATGTCTCCTTCATCGCAGATGCACGCGCAGAGAAGTGGAGGCATCTTATTGTTGCCAAACCGAATATAAAACACATGCTTGTTTAGATGTACATACCTCTACATACAGCATCAAAATTTTATAATGCACCAAAAGTGTCAGGTGCACATTCGTCGCATCGAATATAACGCATTAAACTTTCTACCTTTTTTTAAAAGTACAAATGTCGTATCAATGATCTAAAAATGAACGGACATAGATGAAAAGGTTCACAAACAAAATGTTTAAAGTGCCACTGCATTTCGATGTATATATTGTGAAAAAATTTTATAAATGAAGAATTAAAGTTTATTCAATCGGCGTGAATCACATTTAACTCAGATATGATGCAACAAAACATGAAAAGCGTACGAAAAAAAAGATGTATTAAGGACAAAAGGGAGATTTGTACGAATTGAAGGCGAAATTGGCGAATTTATTTCAGGGAATAGATGAATTCAGTTCTCTATTTAAGCGACATTTACTACTATATTTAGAAAATTAAGAATTATGAAAGATGTGTGTGAAAGTATAGCGTGATGCCAAATTAATAATCAATAAAATATATTTGACATCACATTATCAAAAATTCGTTCGCTCTTTCGTACGTTTTGATTGATTTAACTTCGAGCCATATTCAGCAAAGAAAAAATATGATACGCTATCAGAAAGATTGAGATGAAGTCATTTTTAGATTGCCAGAACTAAGTTGTACTATTCCATTCTGGTCCAAATAAAAGAATGCTGAGATAAAGGAATACGTATGTACAGATATTGTCAAAAGGAGATAGAGGAGGTGCAGAAATTTAAGTATCTAGGTTTTACTCTGAACAGATGGGATAAAACTATAAAGATTACATTAAGGAATTATGTAGAAAAGATAAGCTGATGGTCTGGGGGGGAGTCTAGGTGAGAAAATGTGCAAGAATGATTTTCCCCGTACGCACTCGATCAATCACAGGGTTGGACAAGCGAAGGAGGATAGTCCATCCCCCGCTTTGGTGGATTCGGTTTTGGTCAAGTTAGGTAACAGCATAGAGTCGCGGAGTTGGGACGAACGCGAGTCAGTCTCGCCAAGCCTTCTGCTGCGATAAGATCGACGACAATGACGGGACACGATGAGGCTTAACGCGAGATTTTGATATGGAATGCGGAGGACCGAGAGAAACGACAATTCGCGAAATAGTGGAGTGACAGAGGGTACAATCGTGATTGTCGTTAGCGAACGACAGCATCATGAGGACGATAATGAGGTATGTTTCAGCGAAATTAAAATTGTTCAATAATGAAAGTCCTAGGTAGAACACAGAAGTTGATATAAGAAGAACGTGATAATTTTATTTGTCATTTAATGATGATAACATTCTTCTGATATCATGATTTTATTAGAAAAAAAAATCTTGTATTAATTAAAATTCTGGTAGATTCAATTACGAAAGATACAAATCAGACATTTACGTCCATTTCTATCAATATATAGATTAATTTTAATCTTGGTTTAACTTGTATTTTATCTTGTTCTGGTTTTCAAAATTAGAAAAGAACAAAAAGTAGATTAAATCGAAATTTAAAATTAATCTACATTAGAAGAAATGGATATTAGGGCAATTTTGGCTAAACTCTAATCAACTTAATAAGCAGTTAACTCGACCGGCAGGATCATTTAAGACAAAAGACCTCTTCTTTCCAATTCGTTACTCTTATGCTTTATTAGCAACATAATTTTATTAATTTAATAATAAACTTTATTTATATTATTTAATAAAATAGTATTGATTAAAAGTTAATCAGTGCTAAAAATTTGATCGAAGTCCTTATAGTTAAATCTATCACACATTCTAGAGGTAACCAGAAATTTAATTATGATAATAATCAAAATTCTGATATTCATATGATCAGAATTCGAATTTGTATTTCATGATCAGAATTTTGGTTTGTATTTCTTCTTGATACGTAATAGTTTTTTAAAAGTTCTGTGTTATATCTGATATTGCGCTCATGATAAGTAGTACGTCTAATTCGGAATTAAGTAAGCGATGATTGAAATCCTCTTCGAAGGATTAAACAAATTGATATTCAATTCATACGATCCTTTCGCTATAATATATCGGAGTTGCAATCGGATGTGAGAGGACGACCTGGCAATGTCTGTAACATAATATCCTTGAATCCCACGAAATTTGAACTTCGCATGAAAAAAGTGAAGGAAATTATGAGGAAATTGAACGAAAAGACCATATACATCGGCTCAAAATTAAAATCGAACATGCCAAAAACTCAGAAAAAGTTAAAATTAACAGAGAATTCGCTTCATTTGTCTTCATTCAGCATCGAGCAAAAAACTACGCGGATGATTGATGTTACGTGAATGCGTTGTTTGTATTGCGTGATTTTCTGCGCGGCGTAGATCGATTGTAAGATATTAGCAGACACTTTCTTTTTACGGGAACGTAAATCCACCACGCTTCCGAGACGCGCGAGTACGCGTGATTATTATATAAGCACAATTCTAATGGTAATCAAAGCAATTCGAAACATCCCAGAATTCCTCGTAGCACTGCGCAAGTTGCGAACGCGAACATCCACATGTGTATGCATGTAAAACGAGTGACTCGAGTAATAACAGGTTATTACAATTTAACGACACGGAAGGTGGAGAAAGTGCATCTGGTGAAGAAAGTAAAATTATAACGAATAAATAATATATAATAACGTGTCACAGAAGTGTCGCGGACTTAGTAAAATACTGTAATTTATTTCACTACTATAATTTTGTTAAAAATGTGACATTATGTCTTAAAAGTTGCATGAATCAAATAACACGACATCTGTTAGAATATTTTACATATCTTTATTTCTCTTCCAATTAATAAACCAATTAAATATACTACTGGAATCAAAATTATTTTTTATATAATTCCGAATGTATTATTTAAGAAGGCAGATATATTTCAAAAAAATGGCAATCAAAAAACACTTTTTTAACAAAAATAGAAAAAAGAAAGTAGAAAAAAATAGAAAATTTTAAGAAACTGAATTGTTTTTTGTATATTTAAGTTATTATGTGTGTATTTAAATCATATATATAAAATGATTTCTTAATATGTCTAAATATTAAAAAAAAATTAAATTTTTTTTGCGGTTAGAAGCAAATAATAAAAAAAAATAACTAAAAAATATTTTTGATTCTTATCCCATTTGTCATCTGATAGCACTTTCCAGTCTTGTAATCTTAATTTGACAAAAAAAAAACGAGAAAATAAATCATTGCAAGAG